ACAATTGGTAAAGCTGATGTCTGAAGAAGCCCGTGATTGGGCCCAGAACACAGCAGAAGGTCGAATCCAGTTGTGCATGATGGGCCTTGTTGTCATCCACCTTTTTCAGTACGGCTTTCAGCTTTTGCATGAGTCTGGTGCCAAGATCACCCCATCATCCATCTTCCATGACCTTGAGGAAGACGAACCCCAAGTGAAGAACCCAAAGGCGCTCCTGGAGAAGCTTAAGAAGGATTTTCCAACCGTGACGATGTTTCCAGGGGAGTACTATGCTGCAGCCTATAGCAAAGACTCGGCTTATGTCAAGGTGATGTCTGCCATGTCAGGCATTGTCCATGCGCTGTGTGCTGGAGGAGAGATTCACTTCAACAATGTGGATGCAGATGAGGCTTCTCTGAGCTTCGCCTGTAACATGTGATTGATATGTCAAAGAATCTGTTTAGACATGTTTAGAATCTTTTCTGGATTTGTTTGGATCTTTGAGGTGTTGATGTGATGCAGATTGCTCTGCAAGGGGAATTACGCAAAGTGGTAAGACGCCAAGACTTTTTCTGAGATAGCGCACTTTAATCTTCTTTCGCTGTGCAGGTGAAGAGCCTTCACTTGGCGAATGCTGGGCTGGTACTTCAAGATTCCTGTGCAATGGTCCTTGTGAAAGGATTGGTGGAGAACGAGGGCATTTGCCAGATCAAGCTGCCATCAAGCCCGTCAAGCTCCTCCAATGGAGTTGCTCGTGCCAACAAAGGTGTTTGGGTGTTTTCATGTCATGACTCATGACTGCCTCGGCAGATTGTATCAGAGGAGGGTTTCCTATTTTCTCTATGTCTTTTGCATATGTGACAGGCATCACGGCATCATGCAGAATTTTCAGCGCGACTGTGAGCCAATCTGAGCCAATCATCGCCTGCTGAGGTTCAGAGCTCTCTGTATTCACCTGCGGACACAATCTTCGCAGGAAGTCTGCAAGAGAGCCAGTTGTCTTTAGAGGAGAAGGTGCAGCAAGTATTGTTGGTGTGCTCAGGAGGTGAACTGGTTGGAAGAGATCAGTTGACCACGCTCTTTCAGGAGAAGAAGCACCCAGTGTGCTATGATGGCTTTGAGCCTTCGGGTCGTATGCACCTTGCCCAGGGAATCATGAAGGCCGACATCGTGAATCGCCTCACCAAAGCTGGCTGCGTCTTCGTGTTTTGGGTTGCGGATTGGTTCGGCTTGTTGAACAACAAGATGGGTGGCGACCTTGCAAAGATCCAAACAGTTGGGCGATATTTCGTGGAGGTTTGGAAAGCGGCGAGCATGAACATGGAGAACGTCCGCTTTCTTTGGGCCGCAGAGGAAATCAACAAGAACTCTGATCGCTACTGGCTCCTGGTGATGAACATTGCCCGAGCTTTCACCGTCAGCCGCATGAAGCGATGCTGTCAGATCATGGGCCGCCAAGAAAGCCGGGGGCTCAAATGGCTGGACTCGGCTAGATTTCACCAGATCACTTTGCATCGACAAATCACATATATACTTGCCAAGTAATTAATCTGAGTGGCATATAGGCATATACCAAATACATATATAATCAGAATCCAAGTAGCATACTTATCGTTACAAACTGTAATGTATAGGTTCTAAGATTTCGAGATTCCTCTTCAGAACGGTCATGATTGCACTTGTCACACGCCACAAATCCATACGAAATGCAGGGAAAGGGAAGAAACAAATCGTGCAGATCCTGCGGACATGGCTGAGGTGACGATATGCCCGCCGCGACAATCATGTATCCATGCATGCAATGTGCGGATGTGTTCTACTTGGGAGCAGACATTTGCCAGTTAGGCATGGATCAGCGCAAAGTGAACGTGTTGGCCAGGGAGTTCATGGACCGCAAGGAGTTTTGCCATGAGAAGCGAGAGAAGCCCATCATTGCTTCGCACGGCATGGTGCCGGGCTTGTTGGAGGGGCAAGAGAAAATGTCGAAGTCCAATCCGGACTCGGCCATTTTCATGGAGGATTCAGTGGAAGATGTGAGCAGGAAGATCAAGAAGGCATTTTGCCCTCCAAACCAGGTGGAAGGTAATCCATGCGTTGCATATGTGCGGATGATCATTTTCCCTCGGTTTGGTGAATTCGTTCTGAAGCGCAAAGCAGAACATGGGGGCAACATCCGCTTTGCTTCTGTGGAAGAGTTTGAGACCGCTTACGGTGCGGGCTCAGTGCATCCGGGTGATTTGAAGGCCAGTCTTGCAGAGGCCATCAATGAGATCATCGAACCTGTGAGGCTCCACTTCCGCGAGAACCCTGTTGCAGCCCAACTTCTGGAGACAGTGAGGCGCTACCAAACCACCAGGTGAGTGAAGACGATTGAAGACGTGTAGGTCGCATGTCTTGGGGTCCTTTTGGGTCCAACTCCAGGGTTGGCCTTGCGCAATCTTGCGCACCTGTGTCGTATTGACAGTGAATTCATGGAGCATTTGAACCATTTGGGCGTTTCACGCGCTTGACTTTATGCTCGGTACTTTTCAAGTCCTGGGATTTCTGCTTGTCACCTTGACAGCTCAAATAGTTAGCCGTTTCAGGACTTTTGCAACAAACGGCCTTTGCACCAGCTTGAGGACTGGTCTTACGTTCTCAGGCTGTATCACCGAAGGCTGCTTCAAAAAAAGGTGGGCGACTTGTGTAAGTCTTTGCAGTGCTTTGGTGGGACATGAGTGATCCTGCAAGTAAAGGGGTTGGTTGTGCCAAGCGTAGTGCAGTGTCATTCGCAGATTGAGCCTTTGAATATATGTATAGGCATGGTGTAGGCTGATAGCATGGCAGGATCTTCTTCCTTTCCGCACCTGAAAATACGCCCCTGCCCCCCTACTTGCACTTGCCTTGGAAGGTTGACTTGCCGTTGTTCATGGTGCTCCCTTGGTGCAGGCCTGGGGGCTTTTGATGACAGCCAGTACATCTTGACTGAATTCTTACAAGAGATGGGCCATGACGGCCATATTTTTTCAGATTGAGTTTGAGGTGACCAGAGGCTCTTGGTCAACATGGCCAAACCCAACAGCAGTGCAGATTAGTTGGAGAGGATTCACAGCTCAAATCTCCTTGAGTAGGACCATCTTGAAAACAAACCTATCCCTTGCTGACAGGGTTTTCCATGACCAGATCCGAATTCAAGGCTCTCCAGCGGCACGGGGGTCGCATTTGCCCCTGAACCATGTTGGGTCGCACTTGCCCCTGAATGAAGTGCGATGAAGTGGGTTCAGGGGCGAATGTGACCCTCGTTCAGGGGCGAATGTGACCCCTGCTTTTGCGTGGCAGGCGTAATAGTTTCAGAGCCTCAAAAGGATTTTTTCCACCCTAGAGAGTCATATCCACGTGCTATGCGACGTTCCAACAGCCATTTCAATCAACTTCCAGGACACTATGGATGCTATGGTGTACCATTGCTACGTTGTAACATCCATTTCGGGCAACGTCGAAGATGCTTTGGATGCTACGTTCCAACAGCCATTTCAATCAACTTCCAGCACGCTATGGATGCTACGTTGTAACACCCATTTCGAGCAACTTGGAAGACACTTTGGATGCTACGTTCCAACAGCCATTTGAATCAACTTCCAGCACGCTATGGATGCTACGTTGTAACACCCATTTCGAGCAACTTGGAAGACACTTTGGATGCTACGTTCCAACAGCCATTTGAATCAACTTCCAGCACGCTATGGATGCTACGTTGTAACACCCATTTCGAGCAACTTGGAAGACACTTTGGATGCTACGTTCCAACAGCCATTTGAATCAACTTCCAGGACACTATGGATGCTACGGTGTACCATTGCTACGTTGTAAGATCCATTTCGAGCACCTTCGAAGACGGTTTGGATGCCCCCAAAGGTCCCCCAGTCCCCCTAAATGCCCCCTTGTCCCCAGGGTAAACCCTAAAGGGTTGAGTAACGTATTGAATAGAGAGGCAAGTTACCATATGCCCCCAAGTCCCCCCTAAAGGTTCCCCAGTAAATGCCCCCTTGTCCCCAGGTTTAACCCTAAAGGGTTGAGTAACATATTGAATAGAGAGGCAAGTTACCATATGCCCCCAAGTCCCCCCTAAAGGTTCCCCAGTCCCCTAAATGTCCCCTTGTCCCCAGGTTTAACCCTAAAGGGTTGAGTACCACATTGAAAGTTTTGTGGTTCAGGGGCGAATGTGACCCCTTTTGGTTCAGGGGCGAATGTGACCCTCTTTCAGGGGCGAATGTGACCCCCGTCCCCTCTCCAGCCATGTTTTGAGCCGGTGTTTCTAAGCAATTTCAGAAGTTGAAGGTTTCAGCACAGTTTCCTGTAGTTGGCATCCTGACAACGGTCTGCCGTGTTACTGCAGTCTTATCTTGCCTTTAAGATCTAGGTCATGATGGATTTGTATAATTTGTATAATGACATTATGTTATATTGTCTGTCGAATGCTCGGAAATCCTTGGGTTGTTCAGGCTTTCAGAACGTGTGTCTTGGGAATCGATCTGCTCAACAGTTAGGCCCAGTATTACCCTCTGTCACACTGCGGCTACTGTTACGCACGTTTTGCAGCGAAGCACAGCGGAACTTTGTCTGCAGCGACAAGATGAGTGTTGCATTGCTTACTCCGGATGGCTGCCTTTTGCTGTTTTGTAACGCTCTTGAAGCCTGAGCAAATTCTCAGTATTTCTGAATTAAGATTTTGCTGCCCGATTCATACTTTTGCCCTGCCACTTTTCGCCATGGGTCCAGTTTGAACCCTTGCCAGGCCAAGTGCTCTCTAGGAAAGTTCGATTCAAAGGTGCGACTATGCTGGACTTGATCTTATCGATGTTTTTCAGAAGCGGCTGGGCCCTGTTGCCGCCGTTTTTTGGCAACTGAACATGTCGAATACTACGTTTCAAGCAATTCCAAAATTTACTCTTTGTTAATCAAGTTTGAACATGCTTGAATCATTCGAACCCCTTGGCACTCAGCAGCCTTTTCTTAGTGACTTCGCGTCACCAGAGGCAGTCATGGTCAGGCGGTCGTTCTCCTGGCCCGGTGATATCGTTTCCAAGGAGGATGTGGTCAGTGCTGTGAGTACAGATGCACACAGCGAGAGCCCGAGCAATGCTGAAGCCTTTCCGGCCCTTCCATGTGGGTTGGAGCTCACTGCCGTGGCTCGTGACCGTACGACCCCAATGGACTCTGGTGAAAGTGAGTGCGACATGGATAGGGACAGTACCATGTACGCATTGGACACTGGATACGAAACTTCGTCAGAATACGGTTTCCGCCCATGGCCTCAAACTTCAGTGCAAGAGGTAGGTGTGGCGATTTCCCAATCTCAAGATGTGCAGTCACTCAAGGGGATAGGTTTTCAGAGCCATCTCCAATCCTCAGGAGTCAGAGAGTCTCCACCCGTGCCGCTGGTGCCAGTTGTGCTGCATCAGCCGATCACCGCCATGCCATGCCAACCATTCATGGCAGGGCAAGATCAAAATCTCGTGATGTGCCAGATTCCACACCTTTATCCTCCTTGGTTGTGTGTACCAGTTGCACTCCAATCGACTTGTGCAACATCTAGCAACTACCACCCCAGTGCAGTTCCAACTCCTGCTACAGAGAACCCCTCAGGTCGGGTGTCCACATCAAAAACTGGATCAAGAAAGAAGAATGGTTCAAAAGCAAAGATTTCGCAAAGCCAAGGTTCCCGGCAGTCAGCAATGGATAAGACAGGGAACGGCCCAAAGCTGAAGGGAACAGCTTCACACAGTGAACAGCATCCAGCATTAGTCGATGCAGTTGCAGCAAGTGAAACATCCAAGCAGAGTTCTGCGTGCGCTCGAAGCTGGCAGTCAGCACATGATGCAGCATGTGCTGAGATTTTGCAGGCTGCAACCAGGGAGCACAAGGACTCCGCCATGCAGCCATCGGCTTGGGTGAATCAGAAAGGAAATGAACCCAAGCCGGAGATTCACGAGAAGCTTTTGGCCGGGTGCACCGACAACCTTTGCTTCCTAATCAGGCAACCTGAGGAGTTGGCCAATTTCAATCTCGTCAGAGATTCTGGCTTTCAGAGACAGGTGCAAGAGTTTCTCTTAGATCCAGATTTTTTGTGGAGTTCCCTTGCAGCAGTAAAGATGCCACAATATCAAACAAGCGCAAACTACGGCATTTCTGGCCATGACTCCGACATTTTGGGTGTCATTGTCATCAAGTCATCCGATTGTTGTGTGATGCCGCTGAAGATTTCGGTTGGAATTTGGCTGAGGAAAGAGGACACCCGCGTGCTCCGCCGAATTGTCTCACAAGTTGTGTTGCAGGTGGTTGGAGCAAGTCCACTCCAGAAAAACTTTGACATTCGAAGGAATCGTTTCACATTGGAAGGGGTTCACAAGACAACTCCGATTGAGATGCTGATACAAACCTTCATCAAGGACGAATCGCTGCCAGAAGTGGACGCGATTGATCTCAACGTGGCTTTGGACTCGGACGAGTTGAAAGAATTGCAGCAAGGCTTTCAGAGCCGCAACCTGAAACTGACTGGACAAGAAGGAGACTTCTGCAGCCTTGCAGAGCGAGTTCGTCAGCGCTTCAAATCGCGCCCCAAACTTCCAGATTTTCTGGGAAAAGACAAGAGCTTCAAGGGCAGTTGGCTTCCAGGTACTCTCTTTCAGTGCACCCTTTCTGAGTCTCCGCTTCAGTTCACTCAGTGTGACTGGCGGAAGGAGTTGGATGGCCACATAGTGGTTCTCCTGCCATGGCAGAACAGGCAGGGCAGAACTGACAGCTTGCAATTGGAAGAAGATCATGCCCTTGTGGCCCGGGTGGACACAACATCACCTAGCATCTACTTGGTTCCAAGAATTGTGCTACATCCTGTAACTCTTCGTAAGCCAAGCAAGGAAGGACAGGATTGCAACGAGAAAAAAATGTCATCATATTTGGGACGCAGTTACAAATTCAAAGTTCTAGTCAGATCAGGTGCTACATGGCAAGAACCACTCCAAGCCTCCCTTTGCACGCAGCTTGTTGGCCCTAGTAGGTGCTTGGTTCAGCTAAGGGATGATTCGGACCAAACCAATGCAACGCCAGTCGAAGTGGAAGTTGACGCGGTTACATTGGCAATGGACTTGCCGAGCAAATGCCTGGCCAAGGGACAAGATGCAACCATCGTGGCATATCATGGCTGAAAGAGCAGAGATGTCAAGCTGAAGAGCTGGCAAGAGCTGGACTTGTGCAGAGATGCGCCTTGTCATGCCTGTGCCTGAAGCAGGTGCCGGCTGCTTCCGGCAGGTGCGTGGAGTCCCTGAGAAAAAGTGGGCAACCTTTGAGATGTATTCTGGCAGAATCGACCGAATCGCAATGAATAGCTCGAGTTATTCAGAGCCGTTCAGAGCCATTGAGGTATTGGTCTTACTTGCTGAATCTAGTGGCTAGTGAGATTTGCGCTTTCTTTGTCAGGCGTGCCAAGAAGATCGAAAATTCATCTAGCCTTTGAAGCCAGGCAGCATGGTACTACGATTACTAAGAAGTTTCTTTTACCAACCTCCAGAGTTATTAATCATCAAAGCTTTTCGTTCTTCGCCGTTTGAACATCAGACATAGCTCAAGCTCAAACTCATCTATTCTGCTTTAGGGTTGCCTGCTATTGCAATTTCAATGTTGGAAGTCTGCAGTGACAGGGTCGATTGTATTAAATCATGAACCCAACGCTTTGATGCGGGCGGTTGTGCCCTCTCAAATCAGGGAAGACCTTTGCATACATAGAGAAATTGCTTGACAGCATGGACAGAAGACGTTGGGAATCTAAAGCAAACTGTATAAATTTGCAGACTTTCGCAACAAAGGCAAAGTTCCAATAACTTTTATCCCGGTTTGATCTACTTGATGTTCATGACATTTTTGGATTCACTCTTCGCAGTTGCTTCCAACAACTGCCCTTCTCTAGAACAGCTGGGATATTAAGGGCTGTGCTGGTAGTACATTTTATTGCGCTCCAAGAGACAAGTGGACAAATGGGTGGAGAACTCTGCTCAAACATGGTGCATTTCGTGATTTCCGAGGCTGCAACATGCTGCAACTGTGGTTTCATAGTTGCACACTTAGTCAACAAATTCAACAGCCCCACCATACATCAGCGACACACCGACTATACCTGCCAAAACTGCACCTTTGACAGTGTTCCAAGCAATATAACCTCATCATATCCGGGATGGGGGTATTTGATATTGGGGGGAAGGGATTCGAAGTAACCTGTTTTTACAACGTTTTCTGCCGAAACTTGAGGTGTTTACTCCTGCTCATGACCAGCTTCTCCAGCTGGGTTAAGGAGGATGCTTATATAGCTGTGGTCGAGGAGACCCTTGATGTGCTTGCAGTCTGATGCAGTTTCAGACTTTTGTTGCTTTTGATCAGCTCCTTCATACCGTTGTGGACGTTGGCAATTTTTTTCGCTGCGGAAGCGAAACTGAAAGAAATGCAGTGATGAAAGTGCAGTGCTGTGCCTCATTTCAGCTTATGAAGGCACTCGTGTTTCATCAATGTGACTTGATATTTAGACGTACAGTGCTTTGCGTGCGACTTGAGATCAACAATTGCACTATTTGCCAGGCCGACTTTCCCGTGCGGCTTGCTGACCCCAGGCCAGGAGAACCCACAGATGATGCATAGTTCATCCTGACCGCTTTTTAGTCCCCACTTGGTTGCTTTTTTTCATGTTTCCCTGCTGTTTCATGTACTTCGCGGCAGAGAGACAATTGGGATGGATGTGAAAGCGACTGCTGCAGTAGCTGCTAAAGTAGCTCTTGTTCAGCATGGCCAAATCTACCCAAGGGGGTTTGACTCGCAGCAACTAGACTTCCTTTCTAGGGCTGCCAGTTTCAGTTGAAAGGGGAGGTAGCTGTAGATTTGTGGGATGCGCTGTTCACATCTTTCAGCCAGGTTGGAAGATGAAAACTTCTGCGGGGGCAAAGTGCCGGGCATAGTTTCAAGAGTATCACAAACTTGGCATCAGCCAAATGCTGCAGGAGTTGTGATGTTGCGATTCTGTTTCGCGTCGGCAATGCGTGGGAACATGCGCTGGACTGGTGCTCTCTTGTGACGCGACATTCTGGCCCCAGACACATCTTAGACTTTGGCTTGGAGCCAAAGTTCGTATACCCCACTGGCAATCAGCAGGAATTGCAGCGCCACTTTGAGGTCCAAGGCTAGCTTTGTGTTTGTTGGGCCTGCACATAAGCTCATGGCACACACACACAAGAACCTGTCTCTCATCATATTTCAATATGAGAAGAATACACATTGGTTACAGTATCTTTGCTTGAGAAAAGGACAGAGAAACTCAACAGTAGTTTCTTTGCATGCAATGGAAGACGGAAGTTTCAGCCGTCTCGGGCAAAACATCATCTCTGTGGTCCGGCTGGCTGTAGAGGGCCAGTGGTCCAAAGCGGAAGAACTCCACGAGAAGGTCACGGCTCAAGTCAGCAAGCAGCTGCAAGAAGGTCTGGAGAATCTCAGCCCGACTCAGCAGAAGAAGCGACGTCAATCCGGCCAAAGATGTGAGCATGTACTCGCCCATGTGCTCGCCTCAGTCTTGACCGTGGAGGGTCGGTGGCGACAGGCAGAGACACTCCTGAGAGAGCTCTTGCAATTGGCGCGAAGGAGGTTGCCTGCAGGTGCAGTTGACATGCTAAACAGCATGACCCTTCTTACGACCGTGCTTGACGAGCAAGGGAAATTGAGGGAGGTTGAACAGATCCACAGAGAAGCAATGCAAATATCATGCAAGCACTTCGGAAAGGACCATCCAAACACCCTGAGCAAGATAAAAAATTTGGCTCTTGCCCTTCAAAAACAAGACAAGCGGCAAGAAGCTGAGGAGATGTACACAGAAGTGCTGGAAGCTAGGCGCCGAGCCCTTGGGCAGAACCACCAGGACACCTTGAGCAGCATGAACAGCCTGGCAATTGCCCTTGCAGAACAAGGCAAATGGCAGGAAGCTGTGGACATGCACAGGAAAGCATTGGAAGCTCGGCGCCGAGTTCTTGGACAGGACCACCAGGACACCCTGAGCAGCATGAACAACCTGGCGCTTGTCCTTCGAGAACAAGGCAAGTGGCACGAAGCTGAGGACATGCACAGGGAAACATTGGAAGCTCGGCGCCGAGTTCTTGGACACAACCATGAAGACACCCTGGAAACCATGAATGACCTGGCACTTGTCCTTCAAGAACAGGGCCAGTGGCAAAAAGCTGGGGAGATGCACGCAGAAGTGTTGCAAGCCAGGCGCCAAGTTCTTGGACAGGAACACAAGGACACCCTGCACAGCATGTACTACGTTGCGGCCGTCCTTAAAGAACAAGGCAAGTGCCCAGAAGCTCAAAAGATGCATGCAGAAGTGCTGGAAGCTCGCCGCCGAGTTCTTGGACAGGACCACGAGGACACCCTGAGCAGCATGAATGACCTTGGGCTTATCCTTCAAGACAAAGGCAAGTGGCAAGAAGCTGAAAAGATGCACACACAAGTTCTGAATGCTCGCCGCCGGGTTCTTGGACAGGAGCACGAGGACACCCTGAGAAGCATGAACAACCTGGCGGGTGTCCTTCAAACACAAGGCAAGTGGCAAACAGCTGCGGGGATGCACGCAGAAGTGCTGAAGGCTAGGCGCCGACTTCTTGGACAAAACCACAAGTACACCTTGTCCAGTATGAACAATCTGGCTTGTGTCCTGCAGCAACTGGGCAAGTGGCAAGAAGCTGAGGAGATGCACACAGAAGTGCTGGAAGCTAGGCGTCGAGCTCTTGGACAGAACCACAAGGATACCCTGAGCAGCATGAGCATCTTGGCAACTATCTTTCAAGAACAAGGCAAGTGGCAAAAAGCGGAAGAAATGCACGCAGAAGTGCTCGAAGCTAGGTGCCGAGTGCTTGGACAAGACCACCCAGATACTCTGAGCAGCATGAATGACCTTGCGAGTGCTTTTCAGCAACAGGGCAACTGGCAGAAAGCTGAGGAAATGCACACAGAAGTGCTGGAAGCTAGGCGCCGAGTTCTTGGACATGACCACCAGGACACCCTGAGCAGCATGACCAACGTAGCGTTTGTCCTTCGAAAACAAGGCAAGTGGCAGAAAGCTGAGGAGATGCAACAAAGAAAAGCTGCAAGTTAGGCGGTGGATTGTTGGACATGGCCATTTTGAAACTTGGCGACTGTGATTCTAACTCTGAGCTTTTAGACGTGATGGCGGCTGTTACATGTTTTTACGCACAGCAGAGCGGGTGACACTAGGTGCCATTTGGTGCGTTAGGAAGAACTCGCTAAAGCAGCTGGCTGGAAAGTAAAGGAAAAAGAGGTCTGGTGGAATCACCTTGGCGTTTGATTCCAGCCAACCGTGCTGTTTGCATTGATGACTCGCAAGTATACTCATGTGCAGCCCACAGACGTTTTATGTTTCCTATCTTCGTGGTAGTAATGTGTCAGTCTTTCCTTGTTTGCATGTCAACCTGCTTCGCAACGAACTGTCCGTTTAGGAGCCTGAAGTTTTTTCGACAGGCCGGTCTGGAATGTTTGAAACTGTTTAACATTGTTTGAACCTTTTCAAATTCATTTGATTTGGAAACGTGAAGCGAAAACAGCTATGCTGTGGTGGCTGATGACGGTCGAGTTGACAAGGCAGCCCAAATTGGATCATCATTTGCTCCTTTTTTCTTTCTTTGCACCTTGCTTTATTTGGGACGCGGCTTCAAGCTGCCCGGCGAAGGACTTGTCCATTTCTAGGATCCGACACTGGAACCTTACATAGGACTAGTTCTAGCAGTTCTAGCATACGTTTTTCACATTTTTTTTTTGCATTTTCATGACAACCATATCTCCATGGCCATGGGAGGCGGTTGTGTTTCATCTGGGACCGGTGAAGCCCTGACTGGAAGGCTGGGCCACATAGCTAGCTGAAAACCTCAATGTCTTGGGCGTTGCAATGGGTCTGCATATATTTTTTGTTCTTTTTTTGGACAGCATCGACTTGATCGCAAGAGTTTGGCAAGTGCACCTTTGAAGCTGTTTGATGAATTGCAGATTTCCAATCGTTTGAGACTTTGAGGCCTTGGAACTGCTTTTGCTCCTGTGACTCCGGCTCTGAGCATTGAGATATTGCCAGGTGCGTCGTCCTTTGGAGGGTGAGTGTGTGTGACTAGAAGCATGGCCAAGCATGGCATCTCTTTCCATCCAGTTGCAGGTAAACGTTTTAGTCTAACATTGGAAGCCTTCTGAAACAAATCGACTTCTGTCTCAGGGTTTGAAGCATATTGTATCATATTGTTTTGGATAGAAGCGGAAAACACTTCTTCAAAAAATCGCACCTTTTGTGGTTTGCCCGGTGCTTTCAGAGCCAGTGCCAGGCCTAAATGTGTGTAGTTTGCAGCGTGCAATTCCGCCTGGCAGAGTTGTGTCTTGGCTATGCCTCAGCTAGCCATGCGTATCAAAGGTACAATTCCATGTCACTATCTTGTACTATCTTCATGCAAAGTAGC